CTGCGCAGGGCTGTGGTACTTGTATGTTACTTACTACCACAAGTATAATGTTGAGGTATGCCCAGAAAAAACGTTTATAGCCCCGGCCTGTATTAGAGACCGGCCATTATTTACCTCCTCTGACAGCGAGACCGGCCATTATTAGAGACCCGGCCGCTATTGGAATACAGGCCAATATTAGAGAATTTACGGTATGTTGGGTTCAAAAAGGCTTCCAACGCCTGAACCTAGACTGGTATCAGAATCATTTCTCTGTATGGGTTTCAGATGTACTGGAGAGAGCGGCTTTGATAAGTGGGGAAAAGTGTTAATTAAGATATTTTTATGGGATATAGTAAACTTCAAAATTTCATACATGAAGTCAGTTTATCAGGATAATGATCCTACTTCTAAATATTCTGCATTTGTTACCACCTGTTATACATACAGCTGGTAGCATTGAGTGACGGCTCCCTTAAGCCAGCCAGTCACTGCCAATCATGAGCTGAAATTTTTAGGTGTGTCGTTAAAAACTGCAAGTACCGGAATGTAAAAATCTAATATTTTCTGTTGGTATGCTTTTATATTTTTAATTGAAGGTCTTGTATTATACAACATTTGAAAATAAAATTATTAACATCGAACCCCCCCCTTCTCTGGTTTGCTGCAAAATTTCTGGTTTCCCATCTTTGGAGTCTGCTGCTTTGGACTGCTGTTGATGCTATTCAGGAAATCCCGCCTCTTGACACATTACTGTTTTCTTCCTGGTTGCGGCTAGACTTCATTAACTAACATCCTCAGGCTAATTGCAGTTCACCTCAAGACTACAATTCTAATTTTATATCAGTATAGTATATAACAGTGGATTGAAACTGATTGTAAATGTAAATTCAGCTATAAGTAGCAGGTCATTCAAGCAACACCTTCCCAAATATAAACAATGAAGCTAATGCTAGGCTAGCTCACATGAAGTTCCTCATTTAAAATGAATCATTTCAGAGCATACTGCTGCTGTCAGAACACATTCATGTCTGTGTTAAACTAAGTTATTTAATGATTACTTGACTAAACCAGATATTAACTCTGTAAGAGAACAGCCATTGGCCTAAAGATGCTTAGCTAAAAATGATAGCAGCAACTAGGATAAAAACAGTACTGTATCAAGAGGGGATTTCCTGGAAAGCAGCCAATCACAGACAGGTTACTTTATCTGATTGTTTTCTCCCTTGAAGAGACAAATGTTGTCAAACGCACAGAAACGCATCAGCAGGAGAGAATGTGACAGAATATAAAAAGCAGAGGAGCATGAACTCATGCTGTACAGTGCAGGACAATATTTCAATCTCTCTATTTTATATCATGATGTTATTTAATTCATATCAATGATTTGTCATGCAAAGTTTTTGATGATGCACCTTACAGTCCTTAATTAACACATTGGTCTCTGACAGTTGTCTTCAAGCTGACAGTTTAAAATCCTAAACGTCTTGTACCGGTATGTCCTTTATTTTTTTAAGGAGGATGAAGATGAGGACTCCGAGGAAGACAGTGACGATGATGACACTGCAGCCCTCCTCGCTGAGCTGGAGAAGATCAAGAAGGAGCGAGCCGAGGAGCAGGAGCGCAAAGTAAACTTGATGTTTCTGCATGTTCTAAAGTCTTATAATGTGTCTCACCTTCTGTTAGAAAGGAGTTTATCATTCTCTTTCTGTTTTCTGCTTTAGGAACGAGAGCAGAAGGCGGAGGAGGAGAGGATTCGAATGGAAAATATCTTGAGTGGAAATCCACTGATCAATTTGGCAGGACAGCAGCAGCAACAGAACCAACCTCAGAACACGTTTAGAGTCAAAAGGAGGCAAGTCTGTCTGACAGAAACTCCAATTTACAGCATCAGGGAGCATGGGAAGCCTTTACTGGCTTTATTAATGCATAATAAGACTCCGTCTTTAATCTTATTTGTTATCTCTCTAGATGGGACGATGATGTTGTGTTTAAAAACTGTGCCAAAGGAGTGGACGATGCACGGAAGGAGAAACGCTTTGTGAATGATACGCTGCGCTCTGAATTCCACAAGAAGTTTATGGAAAAATACGTCAAGTAAAAGACTTTCTGCACCCTTTATTGTTTTGTTTTTTTTTTTTTTATTAAAATACATTTCATCTCCAAGCCTCCAATGATTGGTGGCATTTATTGGTGTAGAAATGTGTTAAAATGCAGAGTCAACAGGTAAAAAGCTGTATATAAATGAGTTGGCAACTTTCATCCTTTGTTTAAACCTTGTGAAAACATTTTAAAATGTGATTAAATGTTTTTCTCTTTTGTTTCTTATTTCAATAAACAACGGCTTTGCAAAGAGAAATTCTGTGAAACGTCTCTTTCAAATGAAAACTTTGAAATATTTCTGTATGCCTTTTTATGGTGATACATTTACAGATGTTATTTTCTTCTAAGATTAACATCACATAGATGATGGGTCTGACTTTCCTGCACAGAGGAAAACAACTGGACTGTCTTAGTCATAGCACCAGTAACGCTCAAATGTGCTGAGAATGGATTAAAAACTGCAAACATGTTGCAGAAGGTGATGCAGTCAGTTTATGGGGAAAAAAAAAAATTCAAAGAACCCCAGCAGAAGTGTCTGGAGAACCCAAAGGTTGAACTTAATGAAAAAATACATTTATTTTAGACTATTTCCACTACTAAAGGTGATCATCTAAGCAATATGTACAAAAACAGAACCTAAACATTTTATTAATATAATCTTAACGCCTCATTACGTGTCCTTTTTATAGTTTTAAGACAGAATGGAACAAAACGAAATTACCAGTTGAATAAACTTAAAGGTATACCCTCAGATATTGATCAATCTAAAGTGTCTGAAAAGCAGAACAATTGATTATGCATACCCACTGTCCCTCTCATTGCCCCTAAATGTAAAGAATTCTGTAAAAAAAAAAAAAAAAAAGATATTGAGGTATTAATATATTTTGCTACTCATGAGGATATCCCATATATTTAAAAAAAAAGTTGCTAAACATATTTTCTGGTGTTTTAAACAATGAATAAAATAAAAAGCAGTAATTATACAAAAATATAGGTGGATAAAAGAAAACACCTCAAAATACATTTTTGTTGCCATAATAGATTCATAATCAGTGCTTATAGTATGTAATGTATACAGATTAGAAGAGGATTCATTTTGGTATAAAATACATTTAAATGCTTATTTAACGTCCAAATGACACGACAGAATAAGCAGATAGAAAATAACATTAAGTCTGAACTGCATCTGGTGTGCTTTTTAATTTTATTTTTTTATCTGGGCAAAGTTACTCATGATGGTGAGAGAAGCCAGCATTTTTACTAAGATGCTTCATATTTTTTACTAAAAAGTGAAATGTAGGTATGTAATACTTCAAATTAGATTTTTTATTTCAAAAAGTTACTTGACTAAACAAGAAAATGTTCTACCCACCTCTGCAAACGAGCACAGCGTGAGTACGGTGGTGGTAGCATCATGCTGTGGGGATACTTCGCCTGCAATAGACCATGGTAAAAAGGTGACGATTTATTGAATGAAGTTCTGGGTTATTCTGGAGGCTGTAGAAGAACTGAGAGTGTGACTGAGGTTTATCTTCTAACTCTGCAACAAAACAGTTGTTTAGGTCAAAACAAGCGGATCAAAGACCCGAAAGTTAATATAAAATATGGTCCAAACCCATTGACTGCTGGAGACCAGCACCCCTCATGACCCCACTTGGGACAAGCGTGTAAAGAAAATGGATGGATGGTCCAAACCCACTAAAGCTGAAATGTGTTGGGTTTTTGAGTGTTTTCTTTTCCAATGAGAATCAATTGAATGAATAAAAAAATTTAACCTTTTCTGTTTTCTCACATTTTCTTTTTACATGTTATTGCTTAAACTGTTTATTTCTTTTACAGATTTTATATGTTTTAAAATTTTATTTTTTTTAATCTATCTTTTTCAGATTTTTATGAATTCGATTTTTCTTAATTTTTTACACATTAAATTATAAAACACAATTTAAAAATGATGACGTTTGTGAAACATAATCTAGAAGGGAAATTTAAAAAAATCACATATAAAATATGTTGGAAACACTAAAAAATATTACATTTGCATAAATATAAAACAAAAAATAAAAACAAAAAATGAAAATCTGGGAAAACAGCAAATTTACTCTTTACTTTTTTTGTCTTGTTTTTTTTTTCTTTTATCAATATGTTTTCAGAATCAGAAATACTTTAATAATCCCAGAGGGAAATTGGTTTTGATACACGCTCCAGAAACAGTTTTATATATGTATATAAATATATATAAAGATATATCTATATATATCTATATATATAGACATATATAAATATAGATATATATACACAACAAACCACACAAGATAATAAAGATATACATATATACACATATAATATATATATATATATATATATATATATATATATATATATATATATATATATATATATATATATATATATATATATGTGTGTGTGTGTGTGTGTGTGTGTGTACAGCTAAATCCAAGTAAAGTGAAAGTGACGTGCAAAAATTGTTTAAGGAATGAACAAAGTTTCTTTTGTGGGTTAGGTTTATTTTCTATTCATTTATTTATTTATTTTCATTTTCAAACATGTTATTTGACAAAAATTCCCCCCATAACCCCCAAACAGCATTCACCAAGTGTATTTTGACCTGAAAAATCATTTAATGTATCTTATATTAGGCTACAAGTTAGGTTCAAATTACTTCATCTTAGTATATTCAAAATATGAGTTCTCGCAATCAATCATTATCGTGTCTCTGCATATTTCATAAAAGTTGGTTTTCATTATGTGAAGAGAGACGGTTTGATTTAATCTCTTAATTGACTCTTTGCTTTTGTTCAGTTTGCAAGAAAACTATTTTTTGTTGTTTGTTGTTTTTGTTGGTTGTATTACTAGACTTCCGCCGACAGAGGTCGCCATCCTCCACAATGCCGTATTTATGACAGGATCGGGAGGCTTCTGGGAAAAAATGGCAGCTTCCTTTTGTTTGTGAGGATTGGCTGCACTGGGAGCGGACATTTAAAGGCGGTGTTCAACGGAAACCCCGGTCTATTTCACACACTGAGGGCTTTTCCTGCCTTTTATTTACTTTCTAGAAGATGGAGAAGAGCGGCAGCATCGACAGTTTGGGCTCCAAACCCTCCTCATCCCGACAACCAAGTGTTGATTCATTGTCCAGGTAGCTAAACCCGTCTCACTTTATCGCTTTGGAATATGGCTAAAACTCCGTTAACTGCTTCTCTGCTGATTTTAGGGACTTCATAAAGGTGCTTAACGTCTCCTAGTTCAGCGTCATATTCATAGGTATCCGCCTGGAGGCTTTTAATCCCAATAATTAAGTCCTAAAGTGTCCCAGGAGCCGGTGTGACAGATCAACTGGGGAGGAGATCAACTGGTTAGAATCTATGCGCACCGCAGATGTTACTGAAGCTAAGGTGGCTGTGTTGATGCCTGGCGAAAAAATATTCCTAACGTAACAAAACTGTTCGCCCAAAAAAATCAACCGACATATCTAATGAATTAATTTCTGTTTTGTTTTGTTTTTTCAGATTAGAATGATGTGGTAAAGAACTTGTATCCTCAGCAAAGCAGATAGTGCAAAGAATCCCACACAGAGAACAGCGTCGCTCACAAGTGTAAAGAAAAAATACAAATTAAAGTCTGTCTCACACTGGAGTGTCATTTCTCCTGTTGAACGATAAGCTATAAATGAAAACCTGTAGCTTGGACGATAAAGTCCGCCCACTTTATAAATTCCTGAATGTAAAAATAAATCCATTAATGAGGCCTGTCATTCAGAATGCACGTGTGTAAGCAGCACATTTTAAAGAAAAACTGACTGCAAACGGAACAACTGGGCTTCTCATCCTTCCAACTATTCCCACTTTATTTTTTGAATATTGACAAAAAGTTATTTTCTTAGATTCAATGCTCTCATATTTCCTTTATTCTGCTGTCTGGACACAAATACAAGTCTCTACTGCGGTGTTGTTTTTTTTAGTGGATCCCAAAACTTTGTCCCGTATGATGAACTCTATCAGGTCACACACCTTTATTTTTATTGCTATTGTGTTCAGTCGGTTCATAATATCCAGTTATGAGTCGATAGCGGGCTGCTGCTGAGCTGGTTTTACTGCCCCATGTGTAAAAGGGGGTAACATGTATTTACTTAGGCGCATTGCAGCTAATAGAATCTGAATCACATACCTGTTGATGCGGAAACTTTACTTTTTCTGTCTTCACAGTAGAATTTAAATCCCAGAGTTCGCAGCTACCGCTGTGGTGTGGGTATGAGTCGCCGTGACTGCTTTATGTTTTATCTTGTAGAAAAATGCAGATAAACGAAGAACTAGATTAATTTGTGACGGGGTCCACAGCACAGCTGTTTGGAGAGATTAGTTGGCTGCGTGGTTGCCCGATCAAAATGCCGCAAATGTAAACAAACGGGTCAGAATAAAGGTTATAATTTATCCTGGCCTAATATCTATCCAACATACTTCTGTTGTCTGTGGATAATGTGAAATATTATGAGTAATTTAAGTTTGGGGATCAAATAAATGAATCGTGAGGATCTGAAAGCGTCAGAATCCGAGTGTCACAGATTAACTTGTGATCCAGCGGGATCTGGAGGAATATGGGCTGTAAAACACTCCATCTCCTGGGATGTTTGGATGTTATTTTCTTATCCTCAGTTAGGCTTATAGCAGGCTACTTTACATTTGTAACTGTTATTGTTGATTATTTTTCTTACCGCAATAACGAACCTGTCATGATGTGTAACCATGTTCAGTCAGCTGTCATCTTATTCCCTTCTATTGTTTTGAGGACGCCACATTATTTGGTTTGCATGCAGAACAACTTTAAATCATTCACGTTTTTCAATTTACTAATTTACAAGTTATTGTTTTGTCAGGTTTTTACTATTAGTCTAAATTGTTTGCTTCACTTGTGCAATTAGAAGGACAAAAAAGCAACCCAGCACAAAACGCTGATTGCGGGGAAATGTTTGTCATTTAAATAATATTATGTTGCCCATCTTTGGAAAATCTGTTAAAATAAAACGAGGGCATAAAGATATCTGTGGAGACGAACCCGCGGTTGAGCTTGCTCTCAACTGCAAGGCGTCTCCTTACCTGCTGAGCTATTGAGACGAACATGCTTTCTGTCTCCACTTGCGATAATCAACCTGTTGCGTGTGTCTGTTTTGCCTGTTGAAGAGCTGGTCTAGATCAACTGGTGACAGTTAATGTTTCCGAGTCCACTGATCGCCTAAAACATGTTGGAATTCCAGAATATCATATATTATTACTATTTTTTCCTTCTTTACTCTTAGATCAGAATGGGGTCACCCCGTTAAGAAATAGTTAGACAGTAAGTTATGCAGCGTAGCTATTAAAAGAGAAAATAATAACCAGACCTTTTTTTCGAACAGATATCTACCGTAAAATCTCCCTGTTTTATTTATTCATTGTTTGGCTGCAGTCAGCTGGAGGCTGTGCTGCTTCTTTTAATGCTTTAGTACAGCAGGTTCTGCATTTTTTCGCCCCGATGCCCAAAATATCACATATATTCACACAATATATAAACTGAATTCAGAGATTTCACCCTTCCCCGCAGCAGTTATGTTATTTTGCTTTGTTCCTGCAACACTTCTTAAACTTTAAAGACATTTACAACTCCTCTGGAATCGAGTTGGACTGTAAGTGATTAGTTTCCCTCCATATAAACAGTCGGCGCTTTTGAGAAAAAAAAAAAGAAAAGAGGAACATTTTATTTTCGCTCGTTTTTTACAAGACATACAGGACGACAGAAAAATGCAGAAAAATACACCGTTAGTTGTTCCCATTGACCTTTTATTGCACTGGCTGTTTTTACTTCTCATACAGCTTTCTGTGGTTTTTCTACTCGGTTCTTTCTCTCATCGCTGAGGCTCTGAAACAAACAGATAAACAACAACAGGACAAGTTCCTCAAATCTCTGTGTGCGGGTTTGGAGAAAACCCTAAAACATGCTATATGCTTTCTTAATGCAATTAAATACCTTGCTGACGGTGACTTCTAAAGATCTCAACGTATTTCGCATCGATCAGATAACAAGATAATTTGTAGTTCTTGGAGTCTACACGCAGCTTACTTCCTGTTTGAGGCGAGGGGTCCTGAAAAGCCCCGCCCACAGACACATCTGCAAAAATTGGCGGTTTTCCAGCTGCCGTCACCAGTTGATCTCCTCCCCAGTTGATCTGTCACACCGGTGGTCAGCGTCAGTTTGGCTCACATCCGTTTCATTTACTGTATTTTTTTGAAACCAGTAAGAAAGACTATTTTTTATTTGATCACATGAAATGAACTAAATGCAAATAAAAACGTAACACACTGATCTACTTAAAGCCGCTCTGTCATTGAGAATACAGCTGGGTTATGTTGACGTTTTTGTCCGGCAGATAATTAGAAAGTTTAGTGGAAGGAAAACCTGTTTGAACAGGGGTTAAATAATATAGATAATTACAGCCTTGAGAGTCTATGGGCAGGGGCTCAGCTAGATGGGGGGCCAGGGGTGGCCTTGGCCCCCCTTAGGCGATCATTGCCCCCCCCCCCTGTGGCCACCCCTATCGTTTTTTCCCTCTAATACAGATAGTTACTGCAGTAATGCTCTGAAGGGAAATGTTCAAACATATTAAACACTTACATTTTTCATATATTAACAATTACTTTACAACAGAAACACTGTGGTTAATGCACATGCACATCAATGTACTAACATTAAAGATGATAAATACAGAATTCATGCTCTTTTCAAAACTAAACTTTGAATTATTTTGGGGGTAAAGATAAAATTATGTGTCTCCACAAGTCATGTAGGAGTCTTCAGTGAAATCAGAGATAAATAACTACTTTAATAATAACTTAAACATTAATTAAATGTGAATATTAGTACATGTAAATATAATTTTTTTTGCACAATGACTATTGATAAAAGTAGTAATGACAATGTAAAAGATGTTCGCCCCAGATCTCAAACCTGAAAGAATTTTATTTACTATACCTTTAATTCAGACAGTATGGATGCTTAAATATCTGCATCTATTTGTGAGCAAAGGCAGTAGGAAAGTATAATAAGTCTTTATTTAGAAAATATGGACTTTGTGGTTGTTCCTGTTTGGCCACCCCTCAATGGGGATGTACTTTTTTCTTCCTCTATCAAGGTGATCAAAATAACATGATGACACATTTTCCCCAAAGTCTCAATACAACAAAAATTAAACTGTTATTAACCAAGCAAAGCATTGACAGCACATGGAGGGACTGACAATAGATGCATGTATCAGATGATGCTAATACAATAAATAAACACTAATATCAGCTGTTCGGTGTATGGGCCTGCCTCTAGAGGTGGTTGTTGGCCTGCAAACCAGGTCAGCAAGGCAAACAATGACCTCAACGACTCCCCATTGCTATGGGGTGGACCTGTTTTTCAATTTGGCATGTTTTCTAAGCCATAACAAGGCTTTTGTTTGTGTCAGTCTATGAGCTTGGAACTCAAACTCTAATCTAATCACTAAACTAGGAGAGGATGTAGGAGGAGAGGATTAAGGAACATACTTTGAGCCAGAGAGGAAGCAGGAACTTCTGTCGGCTCTTTTTACCAGGAGCTAATTGTGTGATTTCCTCATTTCAAATCAATATGTTGAAGTTAATAGTCACTCATAATTAATGTGTGTTTTGTTAATTTTAACAGCATCCAACCTGTGCTATCCAAGATTCCTGTTTATCAAGATCCTAAAGTCTGTGAATACTGAAGTTTGATCCAGTATTTCTGACTGTATAATGATGGGGAGAAATCTTAAACTATTTAAACAAACGAAAGACGGATGCTAACAGCTGGAGTGACACTTCATAATAATGAATAGGAAATCAAGATTTTCCTTGGAATATCAGTAGACTTAGTCTGCCTTGGCTAACCCAGGGTCAGCATGTTTAGGTCCAAAATAACAGAAGTGCTCCTTATTAGCCCCAAAAAGCACAAGACATCGGTTCACCAGGCTGATGAACTCACCAAGAATTGTCACTTATGTCACAACAAAAGATGAAACTCAAGAGACACAGAAGCCAGACATTCTTTGCAGAGTCAGATCATTGTTTGACAAGCTGGGCTTGAAAAACATTTTTGCTGAAAAGTGGCCATGGCTAGTGGTTTTAAAAGTTACTAGCCACTCAGCATTTTACTAGCCACAGTTTTGTTGCTGGGAAATTAGAACTACTATTAAAGTTGACTATGTTGCTAAAGTTCACTTGCATATACGGTACTTAGAAATGTCAATTGCAGTTACAGTAGAATATGAATTTAAGAGATAAAAACTAAACTGGAAAAGAAATGACCAAATGTAAGATGCTTTAGAAGGAAACATGCTTCCAGGATTATCACCTGTTAAAATATCCAAACAAAGAGAGAACAGAAAACTAGCATTTCAGCATGTATGAGTTTTTTAGTTTACTGTTCTTATTCCTCAAAATCAATGGAATTTGGCCCCTAAAAAGAAACAAATGGCAAAAAATGACCAAAAATCATTTGATTTTTGTTAAAATGTATTGGTTGTCTTGGTTAAAATTATTCTAAGATCAGAAAGTAATTTCTTACTTTTCAATTTGAAATTTCAGACTTAAATCATCCTGTTGTCCACTACACTGGATAAGGCAGTCGTGGGTGAGCGGTTAGGGTGTCAGACTTGGATCCCAAAGGTTACCGGTTCGACTCCCGACCCGCCAGGTTGGTGGGGGGAGTAATTAACCAGCGCTCTCCCCCATCCTCCTCCATGACTGAGGTACCCTGAGCATGGTACCGTCCTGCCACACTGCTCCCTTGGGGCGCCATTGAGGGCTGCCCCCTTGCACGGGTGAGGCATAAATGCAATTTCATGGTGTGCAGTGTTCACTTGTGTGCGCTGTGTCACAATGACAATGGGAGTTGGAGGAGTTTCCCAAAGGGCTTTCAATAAGCTATAAAATCGAAGTTGAAATATATGTAGAAAAAAAAAAGAAAGATGGCAAGGTTTTCATTTAGGCCTTAATAGATAGGAAATCACATTAAAAAAGGTTTGGAGGACTTTTTTTTGTTTGTTTTTACTGACCAAGGATTAAATAAGGAATTCTCTCAAGAGGTTTATAGGTGGCTTTAAAAAAGGCGTTTTGATTTAGTCCTAGAAGGATTGTTCATCATCCTACCTCACCTCCAGCTCAGACCCTGGTCTGTCACTGTCCACTGTGGGCAGTGGGGTTTTTTTGGGCAGTGGTTTCTGCTGGGGTAGATTTACAAGCAGTCCTGCCGAATCTGACCGTTTTTGGGGCTTTTCCAAAAATCTATGGTCTCCCCAAGATAATTCAAAAGTTGTCCATAGAGAACAATTTAGCAGCAGTCCTTGATCTTAAGTTTCACCCCTGTTTTAATTTTGAAATGTCGACAGCGAGACCTTGTCAGGAAATGACATGGGGTTACCAGGGGTAACGGAAGATCCAAAGCGAAGGGGCTGGGAGGCTGGTGATTAACTAAATATTAAACAATCGTTCCAGCCACTAAATGAGGTCAACATGCTCAATGTTATATTCAGTATTGACATCTGATGTTATGCCATAACTTTATTTCAGGCAACAAGCCCAACACCAGCATCTGCTGGAATGGTGACATCATCGGCTGCAATAAAATAATAATTCCATCTTAAAAACCAAATCAGCACAAGCGACAGTTTCACTTGCAGAAATGAAGTAGCACTGAAAAAAAAAATGAAAAAATGAAGTACCTTTTTTTAGTTGGGAATAGGTGACCTCTGGGTGGGGTTTCAGCTTCATGCAGCTGAAGCTGCTCCTATTGGATGACGCGGTCCAAGGTGTAAACAGTGCATCTGAAATGCAGAGCAGTGACACGGAGTTCAAGTCTGAGTGCACCTTAAGGGGTGTAAACATTTCTAATCAATGTTTGAATCAATGTTTTATCCTCTGAATTTGTCCTGTCATCTGTTTCCAGTACCTCCACCTCTCGCTCTGACCGCTCCGCCCAGGCCAAACCCCCATCTGCACTGTCCTCCGACTCCGTGTCCACCTCTACAGAGTTCTCCCCGGAGCTCAGGGTTAGTATCCTGCCTTTAGCTTCATAAGACAGAGTTTTCATAGCTAAAGCACAGCTCTCCTCTTTTGTTCTTCCCACAGGTAAAACCCAAAGCTGCTGCCAAGGTACGTCATGGAATTAGCTTCTGAATGTGATACAGAAACTTGAAAAACTCCCACGGAGCAAAAGTTTGTGGTATTATTGTAAAGATGCTCTTTAGCAGCCGTTCTCCTCAATTTCTTGGTCATTTTGGAATCAGTTTTTATTACACAAATGTAATAAAAACCAACTAATAGAAGAAAGCAAACATGCAGGAAATAATTAATAACTTTCCGAATGTAAGTACAATTTCAAAAAGACTAGAGATGCACTGTCCTGATATTAATGTCTGGGACCGTTTGGGTTATACATGTGTTCATACATATCATATATGCTTTAAGAGAGGAGCTGATGACAGTTTAATTTGTTAAAGAAAAGCTTCTCTTATAATTGTTTTTGATGTATGTTAGTTGTGCATTTTTAGGCAGAAACTGCATGTAACGCTCTCAGGCCTTTAGTAGGTTAAGAAAAACTTCAGATTCTAGTTATAAAAAAAGTCATCATCACCCTGTCTCCTCAGAACTGTAAGTTTGGATCTGAGAGGAAGGGACTGCCTGACATTCAGTGGTTTTGTTTCAGAAGGCGCACAGAGACTCGGATAAAGAAGAACCACAGTTGCTTCCGAATGAAACTGTGCAAGATATGGGTAATTTTCTCTTTTATTTATGGCTTGGACAACGCACCATGCTGTAAATCCAATTGTACTTTCTAAAATTCATGATCATGTCCATAATTTTTCCCCAGCGCATGATATCACCTATTTCTGTCCTTTTACTGGAGCGCTGAGGGGAACCGTGATGGTCACCAACTATAGGCTGTTCTTTAAGTCCATGGACAGGGTACGTGTTTGCAATGCTAAGGATAAAAGTTTGGTCCTTTGAAAATGACGAATCATGTTGTTTATTTAGGAGCCGGGGTTTATGTTGGACCTGCCTCTCGGAGTTGTAAGCCGTGTGGAAAAAATCGGAAATGCTTCGAGCCGTAATGATGTGTCCTATGGAGTAGTTTGCAAGGTGAATATGCTGGTGAAATTGTATGGAAAGAAATTTGTTCCAATATTATTTAAAAAATGAACACATTTTTAAAAAGAAAAGTTAAAGAAAAAAAAAATTACTTTGAAAATCTTCTCAATAGAAAAACAGGTTTTAAATCCTTTTTTAATGTTTATGCAAATGTTTAACCAATATAAGAACAGTTTGCTGCTTTTTTTTTATTAATCTTTTTTAAATATATTTAAAAAACATATTCTGAAAAAATCAAGTCTAAAAATTATTTGAAAAGAAATAAATGTGAAAGAGACAATTTAGGGACTAAAATAAAAAAGAAGCCTTAAAATAATCTACAAAATTTACATTTCAAAAACCTAAAAGCATAGTATATTTAAATAATAAAAAATTAATCAGAAAAAAATGTACATTTCCAAAATAAACTAAAAAAAAAAAGAAATGTAAAAAAAAAAAAATCACATTTGAAAAATATTTAAAAAAAAATCCGAATATACAAATTCAAAAATTGGAAAATAGCAGACTAAATATGTTGCTTAAACTTTTGCATCTTCATTGTAAATTATTCCCAAAACATTTTATAATGGGAAGAAGTTTTTAAAAGTTAAATTTTTTAAACTCGTTTTCTTCAAATTCCCTTTGTGAAATGTCTTCTTGCTTGAAGCCAACTTTCCGCTTGACCTGCTGCTCTGCCATTTTGCAGGATATGCGGAATCTACGATTTGCTCACAAACACTTGGAGGACACGTTGAAGAAATCGGTTTTTGAGGTTCTGATGAAGTTTGCGTTCCCCGTGTCCAACGGGCTGGTGAGTCACTCTCAAACTCCCTGCTGCTGTTGTTGCCATCACCCCACCACACAGAACGGCTGATTTATCTCTCCTCCTCACCTCACAGCAAATCTTTGCCTTTGAATACGGGCAAGTTTTCCCTGAAAATGGATGGAAAGTTTATGATCCCATATCGGAGTACAAAAGACAAGTAAGGTCCAGGATCTTTAGTCTAAACATTTAGCCGGATCTTACAGGAAGCATTTTTACAGCCATCGTTCTTTATTTATTTTTTTTTTTTTTTTCAGGGTATACCAAATGAAAGCTGGAGGATAACAAAAGTAAATGATCAGTTTGAGCTGTGTGATACGTACCCGTCCACCCTGGTGGTTCCAGTCAACATCCCAGATGAGGAGCTGAAGAGAGTGGCAGCTTTTAGAGCAAAGGGCAGGATCCCTGTAAGTATTCTATCCTCAATGTGGTCGTATTTCTCTTTCTGGCTCGGCTGATGTTCTCCTGAACTCTGCATGGTCAGGTGCTGTCATGGATCCATCCAGAGAGCCAGGCCACGGTGACACGCTGCAGCCAGCCGATGGTCGGGGTGAACGGGAAGCGCAGCAAAGAGGACGAGAAATACCTGCAGACCATCATGGATGCCAATGCTCAGTCCCACAAACTCTTTATCTTTGATGCCAGACCAAGCGTCAACGCTGCTGCCAACAAGGTCAGCTTTAAAGGTCTCTAACTAAATGGATGGGATTAGAGCTGCAAACAGGCTAAACTGCCAGCAGAATGTAACAACTGATTTTACTCAAAAAGGCAGTTGGTATTATGAAACAATAATTTTACAAAACAAATCATAAGTAATTTTATGCACTTTTTCATTAACAGAAAAGATGATACAGAATCTAAGAATTTTCTCTCCTGATATAGAAATGTAGGGAAAGAGATATTCTATATAAATATATCAAAGTTAAAGGCTCATAATTAGTTCTTCTAATGTGGTTGGATATTTACTATGAAAACTGTAGAAAATCTGGTCTTTCATTTCAAAATTTTCATTGAGTGGAAAAACATTACATATTAATGAATATTAGATCTTTTTTTTTTTTTTTTTTTTACAAAATAACCAGTGGCACAGATGTTTAGCTTCAGGTAATCATATTACACTAACTAAAGCAGCTTGACTTAGTTTCGTTATTCGCTTTTTTAAGCCTTCCAAAGTCGACTAAAGACATGAATGGGATTAATATTGCTTTTGGCACAGTGGGATAATAATTTGTTCTGAGATGAATTTTTATTTATTTATTTTCCATCCTGGAAGAAAGTCACTTCCCTTATTTGTGACTCCGCCTCTACCCTGTCTGAGTGCCTTCCTTTTAATTGTGTTACTTTATCAAGCAATTTAGGCTTGTTTTTAGGGTGAGCAAAGTTCCTGACCTGTTCATATTTTCATGACTTGGATCAGACATTTCCAAAGTTGGTCCTCGAGAGCCATTGTCCTGCAGGTATTAGAGGTTTCCTTGCTTCAGCATAGCTGATTAACAGAGGTTTGCTGAACTGCTATCATCAGAAGTAGCTGAGCTGAAGCAGGAAAGCATTAAATGCTTGTAGGACAGGGACCCTCGAGGACCGACTTTAGTCATGCCTGAAAGACATAGTCTAAAAAAGAAAAATTTCTATTTAAAAAAAAATCCTGTCTTAAAATTTGTATTATTTTTTTGTTATCTTATGCAGGTAAGTTAGTTAAACGTCAGTTTATACACCTAACTTCAGCCAATCATATATCAACGGTCATCTGTCAAATTTTATTTATATGTCGCAGCTAATATACGCAACAGTTGACATAAGAAATAAGAATCATTTAATCACTGAGTTCTGTCCCAGTGTTCAGATGGACGTCTGTCTTCGGCAGGCGTAGAGCTAACAGAACTGGCAGCGTTGCGAGGCGAGGGCTCAAACATGTCCAGCTGTAGGCCTTCTACACCAAATCAAGCTTCTGCTGCCGTAACATCCTCTTCCACAACATCTTCGTCCCCGCGTTCCTCCTCTAAATAAAAAATGTATGACGGAAGAGACTTATCCATGACCTCCGACACAAAACTCTCCTCCTCTTGCATGTTTCTGCTGTCCATAGCGTTCCTTGACAGTGTTGTTGCTAAGTGCTACTTGGTCTCAATGTAATTTCCCATTGGGAACCTGCCAGCACTAAGTTGCTAACTGGTTAGCAAGATGTTTCCGAGACACCGGCCACAACCAAACTTATTTGCGAACCTTCTGCCACAACAATCCCACCACCTTGATAAACGACCAATCACATTCACTTTATTCACAAGTCGGGCATCACTCGAGAGAATTCGGAAATGCAACCGTTTGGAACAGCCGCTTCCCCATCACTTTAAGTAGATACTGTCGCGCTCGGTTGGGCAGGTGCAGTGCAGTCAAGGTAGGTGCTTTCTGGAGGGGAGGAGCTAACACAGCCATACATAGATCAGTCATGGCAACTTGTTTTCATGGACAGGAGGCGCTGCAGCTCAGAGAGGAACATTATGCAAACTGCTCAGACATGCATGAATCAAGTACTCCTAGAGTGAAGGTTTTTCACATTTTTTTCTTTCCAAGAACATTGGAACAAATTTCTCTCCACACTAAAAATTAAACATTGAGCTTTCTGAGGAAAATTTGGTTGGTGAGCGAAAGAATTAGAGGTCATTAACCCTCTTTAGGTCAGAAATGGGGGTAGGTTTTGTCTTTGTAATTATTTGGATGCCAATGTTTTCCTTGTTTTTGCAGATGAAAGGCGGTGGCTTTGAAAGCGAGGATGCATATCAGAACGCTGAGCTTGTGTTCTTGGACATCCACAATATTCACGTCATGAGGGAGTCTCTCCGTAAACTGAAAGATGTAGTTTACCCCAACATTGAGGACTCCCACTGGCTGTCCAACCTGGAGTCAACCCACTGGCTGGAGCACATCAAGGTGGGCGGCATCAACGACGCCACTCCTACATTTCTCCGGCCTCTCTGTGTTTATATTTCCGCTTGTTTTGCAGTTGATCCTGGCTGGAGCGCTGAGGATCGCAGACAAGGTGGAGTCCGGGAAGACGTCTGTGGTGGTGCACTGCAGCGACGGCTGGGACAGGACCACCCAGCTCACCGCCCTGTCCATGCTCATGCTGGACGGCTACTACAGAACCATCCGCGGATTCGAGGTCTTGCTGGAGAAAGAGTGGCTGAGTTTTGGGCATCGCTTCCAGCTGGTAAAATAAACCCTAATTTAGTCAGTTTGTTAGAAATATTTCCAAGTTGCAGTTCAGAAACACAACCGACCGTCCTGATTTTGGTTCTGTCAGCGGATCGGTCATGGCGACAAAAACCACACAGACGCAGACCGCTCGCCTGTTTTCATCCAGTTCATCGACTGCGTGTGGCAGCTGACCCGACAGGCAAGTCAAAGATGACCGCCTCAGACATTTACAGAAGAAGAAAATTTATGGAGTGAAATTTGTTCCATTATTGTTGCAAGCAAGATAACACGTATTACGGATGAAAATGAAAAAAATTGAGTTTTACTGATAGCATTCCTTTTCAACTTGCATTTTAGCTGCCAAATTCTCTCCACCTCAATCCCAATACAATAAAATGCTAATGTCAAGCTGACCAATAGAAATTAGTCTTTGCTCTTAGAAATGTAGTGTGTATGTAATTTTGCTCAGAGAATGTGATCTGGAAAATGCTTAAAATAAAAAAAAACATGTACAAAAAGAATAATTTTTAAAAATAGATTTGAGAAAGCAGAAAAGTTACACTCATTTTTTTTTTTTTTTTTTATCAAATATTATTTTTCAATGTTTTCAAGGTAGAGAGCAATTTGAAAAGAATAGTAAAGAAATAAATTAAAAATTAAAACATGAAAAAATAGAAAAAAAATTTGGATTAAAAAATCTGAGAATACAGTTAAGTTAATTGTAAAAACTATTTTAATAGAATATAATTTCTGGATTGCGGTTTTCTCAAATGTGCATTGGCAAAACATGTTTCTTGCTTGAAACAATATTGGAACAAATTTCCCCCCCATTTAAAAAATACCCTTAAGATAATTAGAATTTGTTTTTTTCTGTAGTTTCCTGCAGCATTTGAATTTAATGAGTACTTCCTGGTAACCATCCTGGATCACCTGTACAGCTGCCTGTTTGGGACATTTCTGTGTAACAGTGAACAGCAAAGGTTGAAGGAGGTGAGCGCCGTTTGTTTCTCCGATTTCTTTGTTTTAACAGATGTTATTCTTGTGTAGCCACCAGAAGCATATATTTTCTCACTTCAAATGTATATTAGGTTTTCTGAGAAACTGGTTTTATTGTGGCTTTAATGGTGAAGAAATGGTAAACTTATCTTTTTATCTTTCTTTTATTTGACATTTCATGGGATCCATACTGAAAGTGTACGAACACCAAACACCTGAAAATGGTGTACACACTCTGCCTCAAACTTGCTGCATAAGGCTCCACCTCATCTGCACCACAGGAACTTCATTGTGTATTTAGTGGTTACCAATGGCAACTGAAGAGAGGAGGGCAGAAAAACATAATTTAGAGAGTCAGATACATATGTTTGGTAGCTGCAGTAAATAAAAGGAAGCGATATTAATGACACCTTCAGAGTCTGAAGTGATAGAATTATATTAGTTATTTCCACCAAGCCTCCGTCCTGATGGTGTTCAGATCGTATTTGAGCCTAAATAGAATTTCTGCAAAGGGGCAAGGAGAGATGAACAGATGTGACGCCATCTTCTGGCAGAGCCACAGAACCATCAAAAAGCCAGATGGAGACAATTGAGGCAGCCACCTATTAAGGCTGATTTATACTTCGAAACTAGATCATCTGTGAAGGTGTCGCTGTGAACGCAGAGACATCCCGGCCCCCTCCACAGATTCGCTGCTGCACCTCTCCAAAATTGTAGGTGACCGCAGACGGTGCCGCAGGCAGGAGCCCTCTGACTGGTGAAATCTGCATCAACTCTACACTATGCGTATCTCTTGTTTGATACCCTACCGACTTGTTTTGTTTGTATGACCGCCATTGCAGTAAACGACACATGAAGATGCACTAGCTAGAAGAGCGAGGTGCGCGAAAACCAAGGGACCCTTTTTCCAACTGGATCCCTGCTCTTTTTCGCCCTCATATCCGTCCGTTGTCGGGCAAACTTGCCCCCATTTTTCACTGCCTCGGCCGTATCTAGACCCACAGCTAGTTCGTGAGTTTCCCCTTTTGCGTTGCGGCGGGCAATAACATAGCGCAGGCCACGCTTCAATATTGAGCATAAATCAAAAATGTCTGCTTCATACATGCGACAAGCACTGTGGATTTGGATCCATTTAAGTCCATCTATGGTTCAAGCTTCATAGGAAGTGAAATCAAAACATTGGAGAGGAAGCAGCAGAATCTGAAGGACAAAGCAGATAAGATGCAGATGTTATGATTTTGTTTTTACTTTTTATTTTAAAGGAGATTCCCAAGAGGACAATCTCACTGTGGTCCTACATCAACAGCCAGCTGGAAGAGTTCACCAACCCCATGTATGTGAACTATTCCAACCAGGTACTGTTCCCTGTTGTCAGCTTACGCCACCTGGAGCTTTGGGTCGGCTACTACATCCGCTGGAACCCTCGCATGAAACCGCAGGTACGTCATAAAATCTTCTTTTAATTCAAAGGCCTCTAGCCTCCTCCATCGTTCCAGAGGTTAAAACCATCTACCTCCTCCTCCTTTTTTTCTGTCGTCTGTTAGGAACCGATTCACCAGCGCTACAAGGAGCTTCTAGCGAAGCGAGCCGAGCTTCAGAGGAGAGTGGACGAGTTGCAGCGGGAGGTGACAAACCGCTCCGTGTCATCGTCCTCAGAGAGGGCGGGCTCGCCCACTCGCTCCATCACTCCTGTGCAGACCATGGTTTGACTCTATTCTGACTGGAGGCACAGCCCTGCCTGGGGGGTGCAGATCAGTGTCACAACTGGAAGCAAGTAGGACCTGGGTGTCCTCTTTAGGGGTTTGATGCACTACCACTGAATGTTCAAACAGGCGGGCTTCTGACATCATTGGACTGGAGCCATATGTAATAAACTCGTCCTCTGACGTAGGTGGACATGTGAATGAAACGAGGAAGGACTCGGATGCCTGTTGACACACCTACAATTTAACTACACTAATCATTCACGAGTTAAATTTTTATGCCTTATATGCTTCATAGGAACACACTTCTCTTTATATCTTGAAACACAGCAGCTGACAGTTTGGGAACATTATGAGTGCTGCAAAAAAAAGGTAGATGGGGCAAAAAGCAAAGCAGTGGTTTTGTAGTTTTATTTCCAAGCTGTAGCTCTAGAGAGATGATACTACACTGCAAAAGCTCATTTCTAAATAAATAAGGGTCTTACAGTGTATTAACCTTTATTTGAGCAGGTAATTAAGATGATCAACCAGTGGAAGGAGTATTTTTGCCCTTAAAATTCAATGATTAGATTTTATGTATTTGAAATAGATTTTTTTTTTCTTTTAAACCTAAAACAATCTATTTCATTGTTTTTCTTACTTGCCTGATCAGAGGGATCAAGGGAAAATCCACTTATTCCAAGGGAAATTCTCTTATTTATCATTTAGTTGTTGCAGTGTGACATTCTGAACATTTTTAAAAAGGTTCATCTACATTAATTGATTATTTTTACTGGAAAAATGTCCATCTAACCAAGTCCAACTGTCTTAGGTCGAGCCAAAAATCTTTTTCGCCTTTCTTTTTTTATATATATATTTCCAATAAAAAAAGCGGACTATGTTAGATTATTGATCTTATTTTGATCAAATTCTACTCAAAATTAGTATAAAACTCTGCCAGTGTGGTGAGACACTGGTATTTCAAGAAATCTTAGCAAGTTTGGTTGTCTTACTGCACTGGAAGAATATTAAACATGTTATGAGTAGAACTTTCTTCAAATAAAATTAATAATCAAACAGGAACTTTTAGGCTTAATTGGAGATTGTAAGACCTGGTCAGAGACTTTGCAGTGTTTAGCTTGTTGTAAACAAACATCTGTTATACTTTTAGAACAGATATAATCTATACATTCCTTTTACTGAGCAGTTTAACTTCTGAAAGTTTAAATTCTTCTAAGAAGCTAATATTATTTATTATCTCTTTGTTTGAACTTTGTATTTCTAAGCAACCTATCTCTATGCTAAAAAAAATCTAAAAATAAGTATAAGATTTATTAGATTAGTGTATTTACTCCTCATTCCAGCAGGTACATAAAACAAGATAAATAAGACTTGGATTTAATGATAATTGTACTTATTTTTATTCAACCATTTGCTGTTTGGGCTCCTAATTCAATGTTCTCTGGATGATATCACTAAATCACTTTACTGCAAATACTATCACTTTACTGCAAAATATGCAACAATTTCAGCTCAATTTTTTCGATAAATGGAATATAATAATTAAAATCTGTGCCTTTTTTGGATAAAATAAAACAAGCATGCACAGATCATAAATAAATAAATAAAAAAAACATTGTTAGCATTGTTTTTCTGCATATGTGCAACACTTGCATGAAACACTAATCAGCTTCATAGTTTTTTCCTTCCATTTAAACTGGTCAAATGTTAATGGTTTAGTTAAAAGACCCAGTAGTACTAGCAAGTATCCTCTAGTTGTAAAAAGTGCCTTTCATGGTGAAATAAGGAAGGTTTTCTGGAGTTGAATGTTTAGTGGGATTCACACTGTTACGTTTATGTTGTAGCTCTTAAATGTTCTAAACTTATTAAAATTTCTCTGTTTTTGTTTTTTTATTTAACTGTATGTTAATCTGTGTCTACATGTGTATCTCTAATGTCACTGATCATTGTCCCATTTTAAATGTACAGCTATTAAAGTCATACTCTTCCACACCTTTCCCTTTGCTCTATGCACGACTACTTTAATTCATTTTTTTCCCCACCTGCATATTCAACTTTACTGTTGGATGTCAAACTGCATTAAACTATTTAATAAAATTCATGCTTGCATTTCTTCATTGAAATTGGACAGGAGAACGATCCCGGGGAATCCCTGTGATCCAGAAACACCGATTGTACGGAGTGGAATTTGGTCCATAATTGTTGCAGCAAAGGACACGTTTTGTTAACGGAAATTGATATATGTAGCCTATATGTATATATATATATTTTTTATTCATATTTGGTTCTCACCTGCAACTACATTTTTGTAAAGATTTGAATAAAGTTAAAAGAAAATAAACCGTAGCTATTTTAGCTACGTTTTATTATGCATACAAATTTTTTAGAAGTCCAAATTTTATTGCCTTTTATAAAGAACTGTTCTACTCATCACTAAAACACATGAAATAGACTGCTGTTAAATTCTTGAAGATAGGGGAGATAGGGAAAATTGTCAAATAGAAAATCACTGAACATTACTGATGCTGTTTATTTCATCCTTTATTCATCAGCCTGCTTTGTGTTTATATGGCTTATTTGTCACAATTCTTGTATCTTTATTTTTATGTTGTTCGAAAATTAAAAAACAGAAAAATCTATTGAAGTCCTGGATCTTTTAAAACATTTTTAAGCTAACTCGCTGTTGTGTTGTTGAACTCGCTCTTGGACCACAATGAAAGGAATACTTCAGATGTCTAAAACAGTGCATATGAATAAGCCGAATGGAAAAATACATGTTTTTGCATGAAAATGCGACTTGCACAGGTACAATTCACATCATTTAGAGCAAAATGCAGCACCTGGTTAAACTCTGAATTCAGGCAAAAAAAGTAAAGAGATAAATTCATAAAATTTGAATTAGCCATATCGACACAATATGATTTGAAATTTTTTACTCTATCGTTTTTTCACCCCTATCGTAGCATATACGCTGTATGCTCTGATAGAAACACATCAACTAGTTTAATAATCCCTGTATGTGCATATTTTAGGTGTGGTTTTGATCTATTATGTCAGGTGCTGTTGCATTTTTATTTTATATGGACCTTTTTGGTGTCTGGAATATATTGATTGAACAAGTCCAAACCAAACTTTGCTTTTCATAGAGAACTTGACTTATCACTGAAACTTGAAAAAGACCAGAATGCTGTTAAACTCTTCAAGATGGTAATGTTCATAAATCATATAAAACAAATTGAACAATACTACAGTCTTTATTGACTTTTTTTTCAATCTTTATAATGTTATTGGCTGCTTTACATAGCTTTTTTTGTCATAAAGCTTGTATTCTTTTATATGTCTGCTCTCCAAACTAGTTTAAACTGCTAACAACTTTAAATCACATCTGTTGAAGTCTATTTTAAAGCGGTTTTAAGTTAACTATCTGACGTAGGAAACTATGCGGGCCGCTGATTGGCTATGCTCGTTTCAAACCGTAAATCCCGCGGACGGATGTTGTGTCGCGATAGGTTTCCTTCCTTCTTCGGGAGCTCTCGGCCTCTTCCGGTTTACACGACAGAGGGAAAAAAAAAAGACACTGAAAACACAAGGAAAATACATTTTCTCGGCGATAACAGGGCAAACTGAACTGATTGGAGTTTAATGTTAGAAAGGATTCGCTCCGACTTGAAAGACTAAAAACCGAATAGAAGCCACGGCGGCAGGGCGACGCAGCGAATAGAGCCCCGGATATCAGGAGTTTATTGTTCTTAGCTCGCTCACTCCAGCTGAGCTATTTCTGTATTTGCCCTAAGCTACGTAGCCGTAGCCGAGCGGGCTAACCGTCGGCCAGCGCTGGATGCCAACGCGGTGTTTGTTCCCAACTGAACAAACCGCGCCGTTGATTGGTACAGTTCGCTGCCGGATCTCGGTGTTCCTCGGCTAGCTCGGACGGCTGCTCGCCTCAGGCTACGATGGCAACGTCCGCTCTGTACGCCTGCACCAAGTGCAACCAGCGGTACCCCTTCGAGGAGCTGTCGCAGGGCCAGCAGCTTTGCAAGGTGTGTGAGAGGGAAAAGGAGACAAACAATCACGACCTTAGGAGTGTGTTTCTGTGCGGCTGTTTTGTTTAGGCCACCTTAGAGAGATTTAGCAAGGACTCGGATTATGTAATGACTTGGAAAACGTCCATGTGAACGTAATGTTCAGTTTTATTACAGAGTTGTAGCGTTGTTACCACACCCCGACCTGCTACATACTTGGTAACCTGTTCCTTAATGTTTATCTTGTTTTATACGTGTTACTCTTGTAGTGCTGTATGGAACCGATGAGGATTAATGGCCTTTTTTAGTCAGAAAAAAGCTTTATATAATTTCTAAATGTCAATAATTAGCCGTTACGAGTTAAGATTTAAAATTGTATTTATTTTACCTCTGATCACGCGTGGATCATTACCCCAAAAGCATAAGATCAACCAAAGAAAGCTTTAAGAGACTAACATTATTCTTTTTTTAAATGTTTTTATGACAGTAAACCAAATAAAGTAAACTACTTATGTCAAAGAGTCATTAAAAGATAAGAAAGGGGACTCTCAGCAAATATTGGCATTAAAAAAAGACTTAACTTGTTGGATTATTGTTGCAGAACAATATTCCATTGGCGATGTATTTCCTCCCTCCAGCCCTCTAGGTGGCGCTAATACCCTTATGGTGGGTTTGCTGCTGATAGACTTGCAGGCAGTAAGCAAATCAATCCTGTTGCCAGACTTGTATATTATAACAGAGGAAAGAAAAAGCAATAAAATTGCCAATGGTCAGTTTTGTCGGAAAAAAAATCGCTTGATTTTTGCCAAACATCGCAAATCTCTAAACAATCCCTCCCTCCTTTATATGATTATAGGTATAAAGGATTAAGATCTCTAGAAAAAAATTTCAACAAGAAAAATGTGTTGAAATATTTTTTTGTAATTAACTCCTTATGTTTTTATATCCGAACTGAATGCATTGAAACCTACGTAATTTTTTAACTGTAGCTACATGGCTTTCCCTGTGGCTTTTTAAATAGGGAAATTATAGACTACAAATGTATCAATTCTAATTCGATAAGGCTAATATGTTGATTATTTTTGATCACAGAATGAATCCGAAAATAAACTCGCTATGATCAAGAATAGACCCCCTTTAAAATATTCCTCATTAGTCACACAAGATGTACCTTTCTACCAGAGTTTTGTTTCTGCATTTCTCTTGTAATACCTATGAGTCAAATCTTTGTTTGAAGAGGATATATTTAAAAAAACAGCACTTTTTTCGTTGTTGCAGGAGTGTCGCATTGCACACCCAATCGTGAAGTGTACATACTGCAGATCTGAGTTTCAGCAGGAGAGGTGAGACGTGTTCCAACGTTTTAACTCTGGATTTAATTTTATTTATTTTTTGTGGTTTAAACCCATATTTCTGTTCATCTACAGTAAAACGAATACAATCTGCAAGAAATGTGCGCAGAACGTCAAACAGTTTGGAACGGTGAGTAGTAAATAGAATTCCAGCTGCAGCTTCAGAACCAGTCGTCCTTGAACCTCTTGTTCCTTTCCTTTGCCTTCTTTTTTTCTTAGTGAATCTGCTCAAAATGCCCCAAATTAATTCAATAATGGAGGGAACTACACAGTTTGTGGGGAAAACTCCAGATGTCTAAAACTCTACATTACTGTTACTGAGGGAGAGTCATAGGATTTGAAACACAGCAAAAAAAAGTGACCAAAACTTGTCTCCTAAAAACCAATGTTGCACAATGCACAAGTGCAATCCAATCAGCTTAAAACCCACAATCCAGGACCCAACGAAACACTGTACAAAGTTGAATGCCAATAAAGTAAATCATAAATGCTTTAGAGGGGTAGAAGTTGATAAAAATCTGAATTAGCGCATTATAATAATAAAATAATAATTGAGCTTTATTGATTTATCATTGGAGGCACTCACTTCTGCATTTGACCCATCCCCTTGGGCAGCAGTGGTCTACCACTGTGTGGTGCCCAGAGAGCAATCGGGTTAAGAGTCTTACTCAGTGACCCAGAGTGCAGGCTGTGGAGATGGAACCAGGTACTTGCAACCTTCTCGGAGCACAAGTGCACTAGGCCAACACTCCTCTCTAAAAGTTTTGACAGCCCTATGAGGTAAGCGTTTACAGTGGGACGTTTGTGTTTTCCAAGACTCAACCTCTAAATTTGCTGCACTGGTTGGGAATTGAGCCCGAGTCCCCCCACATGACAAGCGAGAATTCTACCACTAGTTTTTTTGGCACCTTGTGTACGATTTCAATTTTTTGGGGTTGTTTTTCTTCCTCTTACATTTCCTCCACACAGACACGTGTATGTCTTACCATATAGGGTGTGTGCTCAGCTACAAACAAATCACTTAGCTTGATAACTGGTAGGCAGACATTTTTATTTGCATTGAGGATTTTTTTTAGAAGCCAACTGGTCAATCTAGAAGATGCGAGTGTTAAAAATATAATGCAGCTAATTCCCTTTGCTAGACGCAGCGAGAGAAATGCAATTTAAAAAGGAGTTGTGTTGCACTTTTCCGCAGGCTTGGTTACAACAAAGCCATTGACTGTTTTTTATTCAGATTTTTCTATTTTTTCCAGCCCAAACCCTGCCAGTACTGTAACATCATTGCTGCTTTCATCGGAACAAAATGCCAGCGCTGTACTAACTCGGAGAAGAAGTATGGACCCCCGCAGACCTGCGAGCAGTGCAAGCAGCAGTGCGCTTTTGACCGTAAGGAGGAAGGCAGAAGAAAGGTGAAAAACCTTTTTTTTTTTTTTTCCTTTCCCACTCGTTCGTGACCAGCGGAGTCTCATTAGCCGCCTTCTTTTATCTTGCGTTGCAGGTGGATGGCAAGCTGCTGTGCTGGCTCTGCACACTGTCTTACCGCCGTGTCCTACAGAAGACCAAGGAACAGAGGAAGGGCTTTGGCTCCTCCAACTCCTCATCCCTGAATGAGAAAGACCACCACTCCAGATCACATCACCATCATCATCACCACCATCACCACCACCACCCGCACAGACACAGCAGTTCCCACCACAAGTAAGGTTCCATCCTCACCCCAAAGTTTACCAGAAGTTTGCCATCTTATGTTTGTATGCTTGTACATTCTCGATCTTTACCCTAAATGAGATATTTCCAAAACTAGGATGCTTAGGACTGTCAACGGAACAAAGCAACCTTACTGTAATTCAATTGGTCTGTTATCTGCTTTATTGCTTGCTTTAAATTACATTTATTGGCTAAGATAACTTTCAATATAAACATAATATGATTTTTTTTTTTTTACTGAAAGTCAGTAATGTAAATAAATGCAAAGTTTGTATTTGTTGCACTAATAGATACGTCATTAGATCTCATCAGTTAAAAATCAACTTGGAGGTCAGAAATGCAAGTTAAAATTTCATAACAATAAAAAATTTCTCACAAATTGATGGAAATTATCAGAAATTTATGGGTATTATTTAAATAACACCTGATGAAGCTGTTAAAACCTTCATCAGCAACCTTTAGGTGATTATAGCCCTCAACGTTTTGATAAAATTATCTGTTGACAACAAGAAACTAATATAAATCTTATATTTCATGTCATTACATGCATTGGCACCTATGCATACTATGGAAATAATTGAAAGTCGATTAATTGTCAATTATATCTTATTAGAATATAATTTATTGTATCTGATCAACTAATAACATCCGCGTAGAGGAAAAGAAGTTCCCAGTGTTGTAATGTTACCTCCATCCACCAGAGGGCGCCACTATTTATTCATTCTAGAGCAGAAACGTGACCGGATCTAGAATCAACTGTTTAATGGAGACTCTGGAGTAAAGGATCTGCCCTTAACTATCTGTCCATTCTGTACCATTTTTACTCATTGAACTACACAAATTTAATAAATGGTGAATAAACTTCAGTTATCAACCAAATAAAGGATGTGATGATTAAAAAAAAGTGGACAATAAAAACATTACATGGTAGAAAAAGCCATGCTAACAATTAGCATGGTAGATATGGAAGGCCTTAGTGTGTTGATGGACTTCATGAAGTCACGTTTTAACTTTGCTCTGAGAGCAACCAGAACCAGAACCGCCTGTTTAAAAGCTCTGCTAACAAAGTCTCTCCCATCACTGATGGTTGGATTAGACTAAAAACAGAGAGCTACATCACAGTTAGCGTCAACTACATTGAAACAAACAAAGGAACAAAGGTAATTCTGATATTATGTCTGTTAATGATAGTTATATGTCTCTGATCATTGGAATTAGAAGTGTGTCATATTTTATTCATCTTTTTTTTAATCACTGTTATCATAGATTCTCGTTTTGTTTTAATATTCTATACAAGCAAAACGTGTTTAGGAAATCATTTTTTGTTTTTCATCTAATATTTATAAACAGCTGGCACAATAAACTGCTAAAATTAAAACAACTATATTCATTCAAAAATATATTAGCTCTTCTTGTCATCTTCTTTATCAGGAGGAAAAGTTTTAAGAAGCTAAGATCAGTTAACCTTATTTTATTTTATTAATCAACATTTTGCATCCATAATTCATATGTCTTTGCTGACCCTGTTTTAAGAAACATCTCACTGGTACAGAGAATTGATTATTTTGAGTCTTATCCAAACGTTTTGGCTGCATTCTTGGCTCATCTCTAATATATTAGAGTAGAAAGTTTGTTTGATCAAATGCAGTTTATTAAGTTTATCCATCTTAAACAGACTGAGTGGGAGCTTGAGCCCTGAGCAAGAACCAGGATTGTGGAAGCAGAGGTACAGCTGCTCTCCTTTCACCCTCATGACAGCTACTACATAAACATTTTTTTACATTTGATTCCTAATCTTCACGCTGAAATTGTCTTGTGTTCCTTTGCAGCCATAAATCGTCTTCAATCCAGAAGGAGACTCCAAAGAAGAAACCAAAACTGGAGATGAAGCCATCCAACGGGGACAGGTGCTCCTGGCATTCGGAGTAACGAGCTTGACTTTCCAGCTTCATAACCCGGCTCATGTCCGTCTCCTCTTTCAACCCAGCAGTAGTTCAATCACCCAGTCCATGGACTCTGGTGGGACAGACAACTTCATTCTCATCAGCCAGCTGAAAGAGGAAGTGATGTCATTAAAGAGGCTCCTTCAGCAAAGGGATCAGACCATCCTTGAGAAAGACCGTAAGGTGAGTCCCCTCCAGAAGCTGAGCTGCGGCACCAATTAGATGGATGCTAAATGTTGCCTCACTTGTGTCCCTTCTAGCTCACGGAGCTTAAAGCAGATTTTCAGTACCAGGAGTCAAATATGAGAGTGAAGATGAACCAAATGGAGAAGTCACACAAAGAGGCCATGGAGCAACAGCAAGTAAGATGGTGGAAAAACAAATAGTTTGGTCTTAAATGGGTTGTTTTGGCTGATTTTAAACATTTTCCAAACATCTTGATCAGATCCCTGAGTTATAGAGGACCAAGATATATCATGGAACACATAGATGGGAATTTCCCAGTAGTAGCTATGACAGTTATTTATCTAATACATGTTTAAAATATGAAGTATACTGTTAGACTGTAAAATGCAACACTGAACAAAATAAATGTCCAATTAAAGAATTAAAATGCTTAAACAAAATATTTAATGTAATAAGAAAAATACACGTATATAAAAATGCTTTACATCACGCTACAGTTTGGAACAAATATAGACTCAAGTAATTAAAGGAATAGTACACCCAAAACATGATTAGCCTTCATTTTCTACTCACCTCCATGCTGAACAACACTCTGGAGTACTTTTTTGATATCTCAAATGCATCTGGAGATCTGGGAGGCTTCTTGCTGTCTGCTGACATTCAAATAATGGAGGTCCATGGCGCCCGAGACAGAAAGGTCCATAAAAGTCCACAAAAACGTGTCAATATTCCTCCATACTGCTCGTCCAATGTAATCCAAGTGTCCTGAGTGGGTAGCATCCAGAATTTACTCGAAACGAAGTCATTTAGAATGTTTTTAGAGCATAAACAGTAGTGTATAGGATTTCCTAATAGCGCCCCCATGCGCGCTCACGATTCTACGGAAGCCGGCAGACCAAACCGGAAGAAAGTGCGCATTCAGCGTCTGGTCTGCCGATAATGCAAGCGTAGAAGAAGAAATGTGCCGTTTACCTGTGCAAAGAAAGAAACAACGAAAGAAAAATGTCTGAGGACTTCAGTGTTGAGGAAGAGCATGAGTTCTTTGCCGAGCTGAATGCGCTGGTTTGGTCTGCCGGCTTCCGTAGAATCGTGAGCGCGCATGGGGGCGCTATTAGGAAATCCTATACACTACTGTTTATGCTCTAAAAACATTCTAAATGACTTCGTTTCGAGTAAATTCTGGATGCTACCCACTCAGGACACTTGGATTACATTGGACGAGCAGTATGGAGGAATATTGACACGTTTTTGTGGACTTTTATGGACCTTTCTGTCTCGGGCGCCATGGACCTCTATTATTTGAATGTCAGCAGACAGCAAGAAGCCTCCCAGATCTCCAGATGCATTTGAGATATCAAAAAAGTACTCCAGAGTGTTGTTCAGCATGGAGGTGAGTAGAAAATGAAGGCTAATCATGTTTTGGGTGTACTATTCCTTTAAATGTATTTTTAGTTTTTTTTTTTTTTTTTTTTTTTTTTTTTTTTGGCAGATTATCTTAACTAACATATTTCAAGAAAATTTTCTTAGATTTTATTTTTTTAGGTGTGTAAAAAAGATATTCAGGCTGCTGGAAATAATGAAAATATGGCCTACAAAATCTGCAGCTAGTGGTATTTCACAGTAAGCCAGTTTATCAGTTCCTATTAGTAGGGCTGCGTTTAAAAAAATGTTTTCCAATTCTGAATTGATTTTCTTTTTATTCCTAGAGATTGATTTATTTAATTCATATGACATGGATTTCAGAAAATACATTTCCACTGTCCTTACAGCCACCATTTATTACTTATAGTTTGAACCTTAGGGATGGATGATATGTATTTTTATCTTTTTTTTGTTGTTGTTGTTGTTTTTTGGTACATACAATACTAAAGTCATTAAAAAAAATATTTTTAAATGAAAAGTATTTCATCATATTAAATTATCAGTACCTTAACAGAGCAACAGTAGAGAATAAAGTAAAACTAGAAGATTCCCCAAGGAAATTTGAAGGTGCCTGCCATTTGGTGCATATTCATGTGTGCGTAATATTTAGCCTGTCACCAAAGGCTGCATGGGGTTAGTTGGATTCATCTATCATTGGGTAAAAGTGTGAAACCTTGTGGCGGCATATGTCACCAAACCAGTTGGCAACTTGGTTGTTGAGGCTTGAAGGCAACTCGTATCGCCAGACTTAATGGGGACTGGAGTCATGATAAAGATCTTTACAGAGCTGAGTATATTATTTAGGCTTTCATTTTATAAAGTACCTGGTGTCTTAGGCCGCTTTCACACTGAAAAACCCAGTTTACAAAGACTCTAAAACCAGACATTATCTACAGCAGTAAATAAAACGCATACAAAACAGAATTACAAAGTAATAAGAACTATCTGAAATGAAAAATGTTTGTATTTTAAAAAATCTTTATGTGAACACATGTATATTTGTTTAAACTTAAAGCTGTTTAGAATTTATTTAGGATGCCATATAATTATATATATATATATATATATATATATATATACTTTTTTTTTTTTTACAATCTTAATATAAATACGTTCTGTCAGCTAAAGACTTGTTTTAAAGTCTCTATACTCCAGTTGATGATTAATCGATTACTAAATTAATAGACGATTAATGCAATAAACGGTTAATCCAATGTTTCGGCCCTACTGAAAAAGTTTTTTTTCTAAATTCAAAATATTTCGTTTTTTTAGGAATTAAAGCAAATTTTTTAGATTAATCAGAAAAATAATTCATAGCTGCAGGCCTGTTGACAGAGACAATCAGCTTCAATTTAAAAAAAACAAAATTATTTTCAGGCCAATACAGTAATTGAGGATGAAAACACTGCCTGCAATAGCAATAAGCCCCACAATCACAAATCCTGCATGGAAAAACTAGACGGAAATACAGCAGTTACAATGAAAAAGTTTGATTTATATAACCAAGCATCCATCACTAACTGCATCTTAGTATTCATTATTAATATTCAAATTTGTCAATCCCCCAATGGAAAAAATAAAAAAAGTCTAAATTAATAATGAATTAGTAATTAATCACTTAGATGATAAATTCTAATTTTTCTAAAGATGAGAAATGAATAAAGACATAATCAGGTTTAAAGGAAAATGTTTCTCACTGTGTATGTGTTTCCACAGGCCAAGAACCGGGAGCTGATGAAACAAGTGGCCGCCCTCTCCAAGGGCAAAAAGTTTGACCGAACAGGAAGCTCGCTGCTGCTGCCCTAACGATAGGCCGGTCGGAGGATGGCGGCCACGAGCGGCTTCCTACTGTAACACTGTGAGAGCCTCCCTCTCGCGTTTCCTCGTCTCCATCCACTTTGATTGGCTGAACCAGAGACCGTGTTATACCAGCTGTTACATTAAAGAACCCTTCGTAGAACGCAGCATATTTTACGTCTGTCATGGCAAGTTTGCCGTGAAGATTATAATTTGTTTTTAGATGCCGTGGAGATCTTGTTTCTGACACTGCCGGGCTAAAACCAGCTTGGGGTGCTCATAAGGAGACTTTTTAATGGATGTCATGCATTTATTTATTCAGCTGTGTTTCTTTTCCTTTAATTGTTGTTGTTATTATTTCCTCACAGCATTCTGGGATGTAAGCCCATATTTCAGGGGGTTTCTTTAATGCCGATTATCAGTTATATTTTTCTAAGAGGATGCAATTATGTGAGGCGAGTTCTATGTGAAACGTCACAAAGTATGCAAATAGCGGCTTGTTGAAGTCGGACAGCAGAAACGGATGGCGCCCCCCCGCTGGGGGGAGGCTGGGGGGCTTTGTTGCTTCTCCATATTGGAACGGTTCTAACACTGCATGATTTTACTGCCAGACACCAGAATGACGTCATGGTGAGACTCCTTTCTCCTCCTTTTACTAGATTTTCTTTTTTTTTTTTTAAGGAAACTTAAATGTATTTCCAGGCTCAGCCGTTGTATTTAAACCATCGCCTCTGTTTTAGTGAGTACATTATGTGTATAGTATGGCCAGTTGTCTGTAGAAAATGCTTTTTAAAGGAACACACCAGTCACCCTACATTACAGGGTTGATTTCATACTGTGGCGTTCAGGATCACTTTTGTACTTTTTTTCAAACTCAAGTGTTTAAAACTATTAAAAACTGGCTCAACTGTTTGTGTGCCTGTTTTATTGACCTTTAGTTAATCAGTTTATCATTTAGCTTATTTACCTTTATTTCATAAAAGTAAAAAAAAAAAAATCCACTGGACTTTGTTTCCAAGTTTGAAGACGTTTCACTTCCCATCCAGGAAGCTTTTTCGATTAAAAATGTCAGAAATATCATTAAGTTCAAGGCTTTATAGAGTGGACCAAAAACAGCCTTGTTTTGTCTTAGAAAACATTCAAATTGAACCAGACAAATGGGTCCGCCCCTTTGGAATAGGGGTCTTTTGGTTTCTTTGTTAGCCTGTGATACCCAATACCTGTCTATGTCTCTGAAAGGGGGTTGTTAAAGGGATTTGTTGGCTTGGCTAAAAAGGCGAGGTGCTCTGCGTGGGGGTGGGGGCCGCGACAATAGCGTGAAGGAATCAACTTTATCGCTGCGTTGTAGGTTTTTGAAAGATTAAATCTTTCCACCCCTTCTGTTTAAGGTCGGTTTATCTTTCTTAACATAAATGGCTCCCATCACACCATCTGTCTTCTTTGTCCAAAATCTGAACATTCTGGTCCTCAAAATAATGTATTTTGTCTTTAAGGTGTACAGGTCCGTCTCAAAATATTAGCATATTGTGATAAAGTTAATTATTTTCCATAATGCAATGATAAAACTTGAACATTCATATATTTTAAATTCATTGCACTCTAACTGAAATATTTCGGGTCTTGTATTGTCTTAATACGGATTATTTTGGCAATACAGCTCATGAAAACCCCAAATTCCTATCTCACAAAATTAGCAGATTTCATCCGACCAATAAAAGAAAAGTGTTCTTAATACAAAAAAACAACAACCTTCAAATGATTATGTACAGTTATGCACTCAATACTTGGTGGGGAATCCTTTTGCATGTCGGGAATTTCATTTTTTTTTTTCAAAAATGAAATCTTCATCTTCATAAAGCTTTTCAGCAGATGGAAGCATTAGGTGCTCCAAAATCTCCTGATAGCTAGCTGCACTGACCCTGCCCTTGATAAAACACAGTGGACCAACACCAGCAGCTGACATGGCACCCCAGACCATCACTGACTTTGGGTACCTGACACTGGACTTCTGGCATTTTGGCATTTCCTTCTCCCCAGTCTTCTTCTAGACTCTGGCACCTTGATTTCCAAATGACATGAAAAACTGAGCAACAGTCCAGTGCTGCTTCTCTGTAGCCCAGGTCAGGCACCTCTACCGCTGTTTCTGGTTCAAAAGTGGCTTGACCTGGGGAATGCAGCACCTGTAGCCCATTTCCTGCACACGCCTCCAGACTCAGTCCACTGCTTCCGCAGGTCCCCCAAGGTCTGGAATCAGCCCTTCTCCACAATCTTCCTCAGGGTCCGGTCACCTCTTCTCGTTGTGCAGCGTGTTCTGACACACTTTTTCATTCCCACAGACGTCCCACTAAGGTGCCTTCATAAAGCACTCTGGAAACAGCCTATTGGTTCAGAAATATCTTTCTGTGTCATTCCCTCTTGCTTGAGGGTGTCAATGATGGCCTTCTGGACAGCAGTCAGGTCGGCAGTCTTACCCATGATTGGGGTTTTGAGTGACGAACCAGGCTGGGAGTTTTAAAGGCCTCAGGAGTCTTGCAGGTTTAGAGTAAATTTAGAGTTAATTTGTTGATTCAGATGATTAGGTGCATAGCTTGTTTAGAGACCTTTTCTTGATATGCTAATTTTGTGAGATAGGAATTATGGGTTTTCATGAGCTGTATGCCAAAATCATCTGTATTACGACAATAAAAGACCTGAAATATTTCAGTTAGTGTGCAATGAATCTAAAATATATCAATGTTGAAATTGTATCATTACATTATGGAAAATAATGAACTTTATCAAAATATGCTAATAAAAAATTGCCCAATGGAAACAAACTAGTCGTTGTTTATAAGTATTTGGGGTTTTTAACGTATTTATTGAACTTTCATTTAAAACATAATACGAATGTGGCTCATGAACTTAAGGTAATGATCGTTTTTGTATTTTCAAACAAATCTTGCTTCTCAGTAAAGGCCCATAAACTTGTGGTGTCAGCAAACATTTTTTGGACGCATATACATGATTAAGATTTTGGTGCCTTCTCTGCCAAAACGGTTGTTTTTGTGCACTGTTTGCTCATATGTTTTCAACATATTCCCTGCTTCCCAAGGGGATGGGTTAAAGGCAGAGAAGTAATTTCCCTCTGGGATTATTAAAGTATATATAAAAAAAAAAAAAAAAGTTTCTTGCAAGAAGAATATAGCTGTTATTTTATTTTTTCTAAGATAAAAACATAACTTACTATTTTTCTATACATTAAAGTTTCTTGTTTAAGTGATTTAATCTGAGTAAAGCTACAGTAAATTGCTGTATTTATCTGGGTGTTACATAATGGATTTTAGGCATGATTACACCAGGGGCGGAGCTAGATGGGGGGCCAGGGGTGGCCCTTCTGAGCCAATCAGAGGCCACCCCTACGATTTTTTCTCTTCTAACACAGATCTTGGCAGCAGTAATACTCTCAAGTTGAATATGCAAAACATAATTTTTCATACATTAACAATTACTTAACAAAAACGCTGTTGTTAATTATGCACATCAATGTACAAATATTTAAGACGATAAGTACAGAATTCCTGCTCTTTTCACAACTAGATTTTGTGTTATATGGGGTAAAGAGAAAATTATGTGTCTCTGCAAGTCATCTAGGAGTCTTCAGTAAAATAATAGATAAATAACAATTTTAGTAAAAATGTTTTAAATATTCAATTTATGTAGATATTAGTACTTGTAAATATCAATTTTTTGCATAATTATTATTGATATAAGAAGGTAAGTAATGACAATGAAAAAGATGTTCGCCCAAGAACTCAAACCTGACAGAATTGTTTCCACTATACCTTTAATCTAGTAACATGGATGTTGAAATATATGCGTCTATTAGGAAAGGCTGCAGATGTGGGAGCACTCAGCTTCACTGACAAAGATAAGAGTTGTTTTGGAGGGCCAGTAACACATAGGTGAAAAATGACAAAATCAAGCAACTTTTTACGTGCCTGAGGGGTCCCTGGTGATGCTATTTCATTGATGAAGGAGCAGGTCATTAAAACAAGAGAGCTAGTTTAGTCTCTAAAACAGACATGGCTACCACTTGATGCTAACATGTTTGTTAGCTGTCAGAATTCAGTGAAAAAAACATCAGAATTCTGAAATTAAAGTCAGAATTCTCAGATTAAAGTCGGAATTCTGAGAAAAAAGTCAGAATTCTGAGATAAAAGTCAGAATTTTGAAATTTTTCCCATATTAAACTGAAATAATATTTAAAAATCAGTTAACTTTTTAAAATTTTTTCAGTGGCCCTAATCCTCTTCCGTACCCACAGCCCGCCAAATATTGAGAGGTACTGTTAATATAGAGTAGAAATTTTACACATTCAGTAATAAAAAGTTGGGAATGGTATGGGGGTTTGTCATCTAAAAAAGGGGGCTGATTTTTAAGATTTTTATTAAGAAGAGGGAAGCCATCATCCATCCTCCCTCTACTCGAGTACTAGTTTTAAACTGCCAACGCCTTTTCTTCCAATCAATTTATGATGCTGGGACACAGTGATATGCTGGGCAACTGTCAAGTAAGTAATAACAAAAATATTAAAATTCTTTTTTTTTTTTTTTCATATACCTATTGTATTATTTTTCTTGTGTAGAACATATTGAAAATCTAGAGTTGAGTCTTTTGTAATTGATGATCACAACTCATTAAAATAACTGATAAAAAAAAGAATATAAAAAGAACAAAAACAAATAAGTATATAACAGACTGCAAAGCAATAAATAAATAAATAATCTGGACCACAATCAGCGTATTTTTGTTTTTGTCTTTGCGTATTATTTTTCTTTTTTTTCTTTTCTGTTCATTAAACAAATTCAAAATATTATTCCAAAACGGTAAAAGTACAATTAAACATGCCATCCATAACAGTTTTTATAAGATACAAAAACAATATAAACTTACTCAAATAAAAGAATCAAAAGGAAAAATAATAAGAAGATAATAAAACAAGTAACACAGGGGTTTACCTAAGTATATTGCTATCAAATCGGAAAACTTTATTATTTTCCAATAACTTAATTGATTCATG